GTAGTATGCTAAACCAAATTTTTGTACTTGACGGAAATTTTAAATAAATATAAACAGAGTGTCTGTGTGTGTTGTTGTATTTTTCTTTTAAAATTATATTATTTATATAAATTTGTTGTTGTTGTGTAATAGTAAATTATTAAGTATAAAATTGAAACCAAACCAAAAAAAGATTAACCAACAACTAATCACAATTTTTATTTTTTTATTTTTAAATTTACCCTCTTTTTCATATGATTTTGCCATTGTGTTTCTTTCATTTCTTTTATTTGTTTTGTGTGTTGGAAATTGAAAAAAAATCAAACAAAAAATTCAATCGAAAAAAAAAAATAAATCATACCATAAAACAACAATATAACCTTGTTGGATTGGTCATCAAATGAATACACAAACGAAATGCATTTACTATTATTTGTTGCTTGAATAAAAAAATCAAAATCCACTTTGAAAATCCCAAAACCAAAAAAACGAAATTGGCAATACAAAAATCCAAAAAAAAAAACAGATTCTATCAAAAATACAATGAGTTGCGTGCACGCATCAAAGCCAATTCATGTCCCATAATATCGGCTACATTGCAACAACAACAACAGCTTCATCAACAACAGCAGCAGGAACAGCTACAACAACAACAGCAAAATAATAATGTTAACAACAATAACATTAACAATAATCTGAACAATAACAGTAACAACATTAACACAAACATTAGCAGCGGCAATAACATCAATAGTAACAATAGCAGCAGTAGTTGTAGTAGTGGTGGTAGTGGCATTGCCATTGGCAGTAGTAGTACTGGCAACAACGGCAGCAGCAGTAGTAGTTGTAGCAACACCGCCAACAACACAACAAACACAACATTTATCACAACAACAACAGCATCACTATTATCACCAACAACATTTTCGCCATCATCATTGCCTGCCTCGAACGCCACAACAACAACAACAATTGCCAATAGTCCATTTGCTGCAGCAACACAACAACAACACAATATTTCCTCTCTATCCTCTGCTACTGCTACAGCAACAACACAATCATCCGCAACTGCTACTGTCGTCAACCAATATACCACCTCTCCCCTGTATTCTTCCTCCTCCTCGAATATTAGTTCGAGCCCCATTTATACCGTGCAAAGATCAGCTTCACTCAAAGATCACAAACAGATATATATCAGGTTTGTTTGTTCGTTTTGTTTCCGCCTTTCTTTCTTTTATGGTTTGTTTTTTTGTTTTCCTATTTCTTCTGTTTCTGTTGTTGTCCATTGTGTCCTCCCTATATATATATTTTCTTTTCTTTTTTCTGTCCTTTTTTGTGTGTAAATATAACCTAGTTTTTAGAGTTACACCATTTTTAGAAGGATTATACGGAATTTTTAAGGATATCAGATGGATCTTGTATAGATGGTCTCATATGGGACCTCAGGTTAGCCTTATATATAGTGGACCTCTGATGGGTTTTCGTATATGTAAGACTTTTTATGGGTCATTTGTATAAAGTAGGTCCTCATGTAAGTTTATGTATAGATGACTTCAAATATGTATTTTCTATATAAAGGCCACAGATGGGTGTTGTATATATAGGAGGTTGCAGATGAATTTCCTATATGGGATTTCTATATATAGGAGACCTCAGATGTATCTCCCAAATATAGAAGGCCTCTGATTGGTCTTCCATATATAGAAGACCTCAGAGGCGATGTCTATATATAGGTAACCTCAGGTGGGATTTCTTTATATACTAGACCAAAAATGTGTCTGCTGTATATAGAATGCCTCAGAAGTGTAGTCTGTATTTAGAAGGGCTCAGGTGGATCTTTCATATATAAAAGTCCTCAATTGGTCAAATTGTTTTTTTATATAATACCTTATATGGGATTTCTATATATAGGAGGCCTCAGATGGATCTTCCACATATAAAAGGCCTCAGATGGGGTTTCTATATACAGAAGGGTCTTCCATATATAGAAGGCCTCAGAGGGGATGTCTATATAATAGGCGGCCTCAGGTGGGATTTCTATATATACAAGATCATAAATTGGTCTTCTGCCTCCGATGACTCAGAAGTATATTCTGTATTTAGAAGGGTTCAGATGGATCTTTCATATATAAAAGTCCCCAATTGGTTAAATTGGTTTTTTTATATATAATACCTTATATGGGATACCTCAGATGGATTTTTCACATATAGAAGGCCTCAGATGGGACTTCTATATACAGAAGGCCTCTGATGGGTCTTCCATATATGGAAGGGCTCAGATGGGTTGTCTATATATAGGCGGTCTCAGGTGGTTTATATATATATATATATATATATATACAACACCATAAATGGGTTTTCTGTATGTAGAAGACTTCAGAAGGGTAGTCTGTATTTAGAAGGGCTCAGATGGATCTTTCATATATAGAAGTCCTCAGATGAGCCTTCAACATAAAGGTGAACTCAGATTGGTCTGAAAGGGATATAGAACATTTTCAGATCCAGCTTAATCCATTGTAAGATCTTACAATTTTTAAGAGAGGTCAGTATAAACATGTGTATGGGTCTGTTAATTATTGCTTTTGTTATCACTTTGGAACAAAGAGAATAAAATAAACTGGGAACGAGCTTAAAATATGGCTCATGTTTTAATTACAAATATATCAGATATAAATTATTGTCTTGGGGTCTGAAAGGGTTATATAGAGGGTCTTAGACGGGTTTTCCAATACAGAAGGGTATTCTGTATTTAGAAGAACTGAAATAGACCTTTCATATATAGAAGGCCTCAGATGGGCCTTCCATATATACAATGCCTTAAATGGGTCTTCTCCACATAGGAGACCTCAGATTGGTTTTCTATATATAGAAGAACTTAGATTGGTTTTATAAATATAGAAGATCTCTGTTACGATTTTTATATAAAGATGACCTCAGATGATTAACCTATATATACAAGAACTTACATGGGTATTCTATATAAGGAATCAGATGGATATTCTATATATTCTAATTGGCCTGAGATGAGTGTTCCCATGTGTTTCATATCTATATAAAAGACATCAGTTTTATCTGATCTATACTGACGACCCGAAATGGATTCCCTTTATATAAAATATTTCGATGTATAAAAATCCTTCATAGTTTCGAATAACATCTAAAAATGGTGTATTTTATATTAGATATTGTCTTGTTGTAGTGGTGTTAGTGGTTCTATGGTTTTATGTTTCGATTGTTTTTTTTTTTCATTGGTTTACTTTTGGCTTTGGTTATGGATCTGGGTAGTTTTAAATTTAGTATCTGTAATACTAGATCTTGAATATTCAATAAGTCTGGAAAATCTCCTAAAATTCGTCTCTACCTAATCGAACCAGTTCATATTCCTGATGTACAATTATCATACGTCTAAGTTCTGTAGTTTATATCATTGCCCCAATCAACAAATTCCGTTCATCTATAATCATTGGCAAACAGGGCAACTGAAAGTCTACGAACTTTTATTCGTAATTTTATTAGGCATACATTTCCGATGCCTTTTTATACACTCAGGCGTATGAATAATGAGGAGGGCGTATACTCTTTGCTACTGCAAAATGAAATTTCTATACTTTGCTCATCGTAATATTTTTAGATCGATTTCTAGATCGAATCCAAAGATGGGGGCCATTGGCTCAATTCTTCTTCCATACAATGGGACAAAATTTCCAATAAGAAATGGCATGGAATGTCCGATTTGATGCCAAATGCACCTCATAATCTTTCGTTCAAACTAAATTAAAGATTTGGCCCATCGGTACACTCCTTCTGGTAGCTCCCACATAAAATGGTCTATGGGGATCATCGAAAGTTCAAATTTTTAAAATATTAAACATTTCTTAAGGTATACCCTAAGACTTAAATTATTTAAAAACAATAAAGGTACATCCAAAGGCGTAGATTGTTAAAACATATTTTTAAAGGTATATCCCAAGGCGTAGATTTTTTAAACATATTTTTAAAGGTATATCCTGAGGAGTAGATTTTTAAAACATATTTTTAAAGGTATATCCCAAGGCGTAGATTTTTAAAATATATTTTTAAAGGTATATCGCAAGGCGAAGATTTTTAAAACATATTTTTAAATGTATATCCCAAGGCGAAGATTTTTAAAACACATTTTTAAAGGTGTAGATTTTTAAAACATATTTTTAAAGGTATATACCAAGGCGTAGATTTTTAAAACATATTTTTAAAGGTATATCGCAAGGCGAAGATTTTTAAAACATATTTTTAAATGTATATCCCAAGGCGAAGATTTTTAAAACACATTTTTAAAGGTGTAGATTTTTAAAACATATTTTTAAAGGTATATACCAAGGCGTAGATTTTTAAAACATATTTTTAAAGGTATATCCCAAGGCGTAGATTTTTAAAACATATTTTTAAAGGTATATCCCAAGGCGTAGATTTTTAAAACATATTTTTAAAGGTATATCCCAAGGCGTAGATTTTTAAAACATATTTTTAAAGGTATATCCCAAGGCGTAGATTTTTAAAACATATTTTTAGAGGTATTTCCCAAGGCGTAGATTTTTAAAACATATTTTTAGAGGTATTTCCCAAGGCGTAGATTTTTAAAACATATTTTTAAAGGTATATCCCAAGGCGAAAATTAAAAAAAGATTACTCCTGGATGGTGGTGATATTACATGTTTTATCTGACCGAATTTATCCTTTTTAACTCCTCATTGTTGTATTTCTATTTCTGGTGTTGGGGGATATATTGGTTTTATTTTAATCATTTAATACTGCAAATATCTTTCATTCTATTCGTATAACTGATCATAATACACTCTTCATTACACTATTTAACTTTTTTTATTTGTTGTAATTAACAATATTAACAAATAACTTTATTTTTTCAAAACAAATCTAGTTTTGGTACTTCTTAATGTTGTGTATATGTGGATGTGTGTAGTATTTAAATATGTTTTTATTTCAGCAAATATTTTAATTTTTCTCTTTGCTTTCTTCTAATTTAGGAAATCGCCACCAGTTAGTCCTGCGGTATCTACAACACCCGCATATAACACCCCAACGAATACAACAGCATCACCAGCTGCTGTGGCCACACCCATTAGGAGGTATGTATTTGGCAAAGAGATTTTATCTGTCTCCCAAATGGAGAACGGAACAAACTTCAAATTTTTATATTTTGGTTTATTGGTTTCCCGGGAATTCACAAAATGCACTTGTTTATCTTTTTTATATTATTTTTAATTACCGTTATTTATTTGAATCGATTCAAACCAACACCTCTGTTTACTTTTTCTAGTACTAGTACTACTGCACAAACCCAACAATCGAAAGTGGTACAAAATTCCTCTCAAAATAAGGATAAAAATCAGACCACAACCACTACCAATAATATTAATAATAACAAATCTACTCCTGAATCCAACAACAACAAACAAACAATTCAAAATAATAATAACAACAACACCACCACTACCAATAACAATGGTACCACCACTGCCGAGGCAGTTAAACCCAAACAATCGACTGGAAATATGATTAAGAATTTCTTCAAGTAATTAAGAGAACTATTTTCCCATCCTTCTCTATCGTGTTCAATGGAAATAACAAATATCGTTCTATTACTTTTTGTTGTTGTTTTGCCCTTAACCCCAAACGAGGCTTTAACAACAAAAGCTCCCAAAATTTAAAAGAATTTTCAGATTTGCTTAACCCTTTAACCCATGCAGTTTTGAGCTCTAATTCCTAATTGCTATAACAAGCGTAACTAACATTTGTTTTTTTTTTTTCATTCAAGGATACGTCGTATCCTTATGTGTTTATTACAGAATAACAAAAGAAAATCCGTAGACAGGACTATTAATTTTAAGAACAAACTATATGCGTACATTTTTTAAAACTATTTTTTATGTACAGTTCAAAGGCGTAGATAAAAAAAATATTTTTTATGATATTTTAAAAATATTAAATGAATGCATATTTGAAAAAAAAAATTTAAATCATATCGCAAGGCGTAATTTTTTAAAAAATATTTTTTTAAGAAGCCTCAGCCGAAGGCGTAGATTTTTAAAAAATATTTTTGAAGCATATCCCAAGGCGTAGATTTTTAAAAAATATTTTTGAAGCATATCCCAAGGCGTAGATTTTTAAAAAATATTTTTGAAGCATATCCCAAGGCATAGATTTTTAAAAAAATATTTTAAGCATATCCCAAGGCGTAGATTTGTAAAAAATATTTTTGAAGCATATCCCAAGGCGTAGATTTTTAAAAAATATTTTTGAAGCATATCCCAAGGCGTAGATTTTAAAAAAAATATTTTTAAGCATATCCCAAGGCGTAGATTTGTAAAAAATATTTTTGAAGCATATCCCAAGGCGTAGATTTTAAAAAAATATTTTTGAAGCATATCCCAAGGCGTAGATTTTTAAAAATATTTTTGAAGCATATCCCAAGGCGTAAAATTTTAAAAATATTTTTGAAGCATATCCCAAGGCGTAAAATTTTAAAAATATTTTTGAAGCATATCCCAAGGCGTAAAATTTTAAAAATATTTTTGAAGCATATCCCAAGGCGTAAAATTTTAAAAAATATTTTTGAAGCATATCCCAAGGCGTATAATTTTAAAAAATATTTTTGAAGCATATCCCAAGGCGTAGATTTTTAAAGCATGTCCCAAAGCGTAGATTTTTAAAAATATTTTTAATGTATACTCCAAGGCATAGATTTTTTAAAAATATTTTTTTAAATATACCCCAAAGCGTAGATATTTATGCCCTACACAACTATGTTGTCAGGGTATTATAGCTTTGTGCAGCCCCAAGAGTTTGTAACGTCGCGAAATATTTGTTCTAGACCCACCTTTAAGTATACCGATCGTCATATCTCGACTAGCTGAGTCGATGTAGACATATGTGTCCGTCCGTCCATTATAATTTGTATATACGATACAGGCCACAGTTATGAACCAATCTTCACGAAATTTTGCATGTGGGATGGGTTCTGGCCAATGAAGATCCCTATCGTGAAAGAAAAAGATAGGTTAATATTTTGAAAAGATCGGTTAATATTTAGGGGATGAAATGGACCAAAAACTTTATTTTTGTCGGTTTTTCTGGTCGCTCCAGAGGCCACAATTATGGTTCGAACATCGCGAAATTTTACATGAAGAAGGGGATCGGGCCAAAGAATAAGCATGCCTGTTTTGATAAAGATCGGTCAATATTTAGCGGGTCAAATGGACTCTGACTTTTGTGTGAAAAATTGCAAAATTTTAATTCTATGGCTTATATATTTACTCCTTAAGGATATGGACCCGATAAGTTAATAGTATATCCAAGCGGAGTGTTTGACCTTTAAATTGATACCAAATATATTGATGTATCTATTCGGATGTGGGAGTTACACTCACATATTTGCAGGTGCTTACGTATTCAGATATTATTTAGTAACCCATTATCACATTAGAGGGCGGAAATATAGCGCTGATCGCTTTGAAATTTTCCATGAAGTTCCAATTATGGTCAAGGACAACGCCTATAATTTTCGGTGATGATTAGAATAAAATTTTGGTGATGATCAGAATAAAATTTTGTGTTTTCTAGTCGAATATAAGCCGAAAATCACAACTCAACCCACCGTGAAGGGAATCTGGACAACTAATTAGGGCTTAGGAAGGGCTGTACTGAATATTAGTAATATCCTGAAAATATTTCAGTGTAAGGTAGAGGTAATGTTGACCTCTAATCGGACAAGTCGCGGCAAATATTACGAAATATTGCTCAGGCTCGGAATAAACATCCGCAGAATGTTGGAAGTCCGTGGTAGTTGTGTAGGGTATCGTATGGTCGGACCGTCCGGTTATACTGCTCCGCTAACTGGTTTAGAAATATTTTTTAATGGGCATATCCCAAGGCGTAGATTTTTTAAAAAGGACGTTGATATTTTAAAAGCGTTTCCCAGTGGGTAGATTTTTAAAAAGGACGTTGATATTTTAAAAGCGTATCTCAGGTCGTAGATTTTTTAAAAAGGACGTTGATATTTTAAAAGCTTATATCAGGGCGGAGATTTTTAAAAAGGACGTTGATATTTTAAAAGCGTATATCAGGGCGTAGATTTTTAAAAAAGGACGTTGATATTTTAAAAGCTTATCTCAGGGCGAAGATTTAAAAAAAAATAAATTTTTAAGGGAATATCTCAATGCTTAGATTCTTGAAAAAATAGTTTTTTTAAAGAGAATATCCCATGGCGTAGATTCTTTAAAAATACTTTTTAAGAGCATATCCCATGGGGTTGATTCTTTAAAAAATACGTTGATTTTTAAGAGCATATTCCAAGGCGTAGATTCTTTAAAATACGTTCATTTTTAAGAACCTTACTTAAATATATAAAACAAATTAAAATCGAGCATTTTTATTTTTTTAAGAAAATTCAAATTCAATCCAAAGATTTCGACTTTTTTAATGTTTTTTTTTTATTTTTTTATATATATGTTGACCTTTCTATGTGCGACTTTATTAGTCATTAACCCCCAGCCTTGTTAATTTATTATTTTTTATTTTCTTTAAATCGCGTGCATGCCTTTTTTATAATTTTAAATGTGCGCACCTGACTGTTTTTTTTTTCTGTTTAATTTTTATATTTTACTAATACATATTTCTCATTATTTATTCAGGTCCTTCGTACCACCTGTGCGTGACGAAGAAAGTGAAACACAACGTAAGGCTCATGCTAAACGAGTGCGTGAGACCAGACGTTCAACCCAGGGCGTTACCTTGGACGAAATCAAGAGTGCTGAAGAATTGGTGAAAAAGAAGAACTCCAGCATGAATAATAACAACAATAACAGCAGCAGCGTAAGTTTTTATTAATAATTTAAAATATTAATTATTTCTGTATATAATATACATACATATTACCTTTATCACACATTGACTCCAATTCGACAAAAAAAAAGCAAAAACATTGCATTCATTCATTCGAAAAACAAATGCCACCACCAACAATCATTGTCCTTCAAAAAACTTAACTCATATCCTCCCAGATTTGTTTCAAAATTGTCCCTTGTCCCAGGTGTTGTGTTGTGCTCTCAATACCCACAAAATAAATTGAATAACCCAAAAATAAAATAAAACTAATGTGAAATGCACCAATTTCAACCATCCCCAGCCATTTCAATTCACCTCAACTCATTCAAAATGTATTCATTCAAATTCACAAAGCTTTTGGAAGCGGTATTATTTATTTATTAATTTTTTGAAAATTTATTGTTGAATTTAATATTATTTATTGTTTTTATTTTAATACTATATATTTGTAAATTTTTAAATATTAATTTTAAGAAACAAAATCCTCAAATCCTTTCTTATAAATAAACCGCACCTTCCTTCCGTTGGTAGAATGAATGAATGGTAAAGGGGTTTATAACACCCATTTTCATTACCTTTATACTTGTACAAGGTATATACAACACGTGTAACAAATTCACCACAGACAAAATATTCACCATTACCACCATCTCCTCCATTACAATAGGTATTACAAGTTTTTGTCCCCTCAATTAGAAATGGTTTTGGTAGGATATGCTGTGATGGTTGTATTATATAGTTTAAAACCTTATCAAATTTCGTTCCACCTAGTTCCACCATCACTTCGACATCATTTCCACTCTGCTGGTGTATATACATATACACTATAATATGTCTTCGATTAAATTAACATAAAAAACTGTTAAATGTTCTGATAAATATTTACCAAAAAGTTATTTTTCCAGGGCCTAGATTTTTTTAAATATATTTTTAGGGGTATATCCCAAGGCGTAGATTTTTTAAACATATTTTTAGGGGTATATCCCAAGGCGTAGATTTTTTAAACATATTTTTAGGGGTATATCCCAAGGCGTAGATTTTTTTAAACATATTTTTAGGGGTATATATTTCAAGGCGTAGATTTTTTAAACATATTTTTAGGGGTATATATTTCAAGGCGTAGATTTTTTAAACATATTTTTAGGGGTATATCACAAGGCGTAGATTTTTTAAACATATTTTTAGGGGTATATCACAAGGCGTAGATTTTTTAAACATATTTTTAGGGGTATATCACAAGGCGTAGATTTTTTAAACATATTTTTAGGGGTATAGATTTTTTAAACATATTTTTAGGGGTATATTCCAAGGCGTAGATTTTTAAAACATATTTTTAGGGGTATATTCCAAGGCGTAGATTTTTAAAACATATTTTTAGGGGTATATTCCAAGGCGTAGATTTTTAAAACATATTTTTAGGGGTATATATTTCAAGGCGTAGATTTTTTAAACATATTTTTAGGGGTATATCCCAAGGCGTAGATTTTTTAAACATATTTTTAGGGGTATATCCCAAGGCGTAGATTTTTTAAACATATTTTTAGGGGTATATCCCAAGGCGTAGATTTTTTAAACATATTTTTAGGGGTAGATGTTTTTAAATATATTTTTAGAGGACTATAACATTTAACAGTTTTTGATTCCAATTCCATCGAAGACAAAAACACTATTTCCAAACCGTTCAAAATAAACAAAAACAAAATATTAGTCACAATATTATCCAGTTAGGGACCCCACACCCCATCTACATAAATCAACAAAAAAATTAAATGAAATTCAAGCAAGAATGATTTCAAATTTCATTGCTGCCTGTAAAATAAGCGCAGTTGATTGGCCTATAAATATGCTCCACGTTGCGTTTCTTTGTTATATTGTTGTTTTATTATTTTCAATACCAACAATATTATTATATTGCTACTCCTGCTCCTCTCTTCGTTGCTGTTTATAAAGCTCTGATGCTGATGACCTAGTTAATGTTGGTATTCCAATTTAATAGAACTCTGAACTTCTAATAGGGAAGTTTGAATGTATTAGTGTAGGTTTAATTTCAGTATATCCATGTCTATATTTTAGGTTTAATATTGATTTTAAATTTCTATAGATTTCTATATTATAAATTTATTGTATTTATTATTTCTATGCATGATCGTTATTGTATTATTATTTTATATTATTATTATTAAATTTATTGTATTAATTAGTTATGTTTTATTGTTCTGCATGATTATTGTTATTAGTCATAGTCTTCGTCCTTTTCTTTGTGAGTTTTTGATACACTTGCCTACAAATGTTTTGTCGAGTTACTTATTCTATAATTATGAGATTTTTAAAAATAATTTCCAGATTTCAAAAACTGATTTTCGTAATAATAACTTTTAAGTGTAGATTTTTTAATAACATTTTTTAAAACATATCCCAAGGCGTAGGTTTTGTTTAAACATTTTCAAGGGCCTAACACAAGGCGCAATTTTTTTAAAATTATTTTTTAAAGCATATCCCAAGGCGTAGATTATGCTTACATATTTTGTAAAGCATATCCCACGGCGGTAGATTTTTTTAAAATATTTTCACGGGTATATTACAAGTCGTACATTTTTTAAAAATATTTCCTAAGGGTTCACCACAAGGCTCAGATTTTTTACAACTATCTCCCAGGACTACTACAAGGCGTACATTATTTGAAACCTCTTCTAAGGGTCTATAACAAGGCGTAGGCCTGTGAAAATTTTCTCATTTTGTAAAGCATATCCCACGGCCTAGATTTTTTTTAAATATATAAACATTTTCAAGGGCCTAACACAAGGCGCAAATTTTTTAAAATCATTTTTAAAGCATATCCCAAGGCGTAGATTATGCTTACATTTGTAAAGCATATCCCACTGCCTAGATTTTTTTTTTTTAAATATTTTCAAGGGTATATTACAAGGCGTACATTTTTTAACTATATTTTCTAAGGGTTCACCACAAGGCTCAGATATTTTACAACTATCTCTCAGGACTACTACAAGGCGTACATTATTTGAAACCTTTTCTAAGGGTCTATAACAAGGCGTAGATCTGTGAACATTTTATCATTTTTTAAAGCATATCCCAAGGCGTATATTATGCTTACATATTTTGTAAAGCATATCTCACGGCCTAGATTTTTTTAATATTTTCAAGTGTATATTACAAGGTGGCGTACATTTTTTAAATATATTTTCTAAGGGTTCACAACAAGGCTCAGAGTTTTTACAACTATTTCTCAGGACTACTACAAGGCGTACATTATTTGAAACCTTTTCTAAGGGTCTATAACAAGGTAGATCTGTGAAAATTTTCTCTAAGGCTCTATCACAAGGCGTATTTATAAGAAATATTTTCCAAGGGTCTACCACAAGCCTTCGATTTTTTAGGAAATATATTTTCTAAGGATCTTTATCTTTAAAGGCGGATACTTAACATTTTCGAAAAGTCTATCAAATAGCGTAGATGTTCTAAAAAATTGTTTGCTAGGGTCTATTCAAAGACGTAAATTTAAAAAAATATGTTTTTCAATAAAATTTAATTTTTCTTTGCACTCGACAAAAATTCGTAGGCATGTGTAAAATTGTTTAGGGTGACCCCAGTTACAAGTGCTAATAATTTGAATGAGTGGAACGACCAAGGAAATCCACTTTTTAAATTTCAAACTCCATTATTACACGTTTATAAAAAAAAATTGGACCCAATTTTTTTTTCTCAAAAATATTGGGTCTACTTTAATTTTTATTTTCACAACAACAAACACCAATTAAATTCATAATAAATTAACAGAATGAAAAGCAAGCGAATGTTGTTAAAAACAACGAAGTTACAACCACAACAACAACGACGATGACGACCATGCCTGTTCCAACAGCAACGATTCCAAAACCAACAATTACTTCTGAACAAGATTCCAAATCACATATTGAACCATCAAAAGATATTAAATCTCAAAATTTGAATGATGAGGACAAGCAACAGGAGGAGAATGATGATGTTACAACAGCCTCCTTTACAATAAAAGCTCCATCTGGCGGCAATCGTTCTCGGCCATCTTCCATAATTATTACCGCCACAACATCGACCACATCCACAGAGGCTGTTGGGGAGGATAATGTGGAGAATTCCTCAGCCGAGGAGGAAGTAAGTGCCACCTTTGTAATGCCACCAAGGAAAGATTCTCGTACACCCACACCAGAGGAAGTTGAAACAACCATAGTGATAGCATCGCCACGTCGAAGTGTTATAGACAAAGCCATAACCGATGATGAAAAAGATAAACAAAGAGAAGAGAGGGAGGAAAAACAGGAGGCTAGGGGAGATGGCCTGAAAAAGGAGGACAAACATAGCAATGAAAGTGATAAAGAAGATGACGAAGCAACTGGTGAAGAAGAAGAAGAGGAGGAGGAGAAGCTTGAAGAAACGGATAGCGGTGAAAGTAGCGAAAATGCCGAAACTGATGATAGTGGTGGAAAGAAGAATGAAAACGAGGAAACTGTGGCAAATAAAAAGACTGAACCACCTCCTCCATTACCGAGTGATAAACAACAGACACCATTGCGCATGCAATCACCTCCCAGCAGTCAAAGGGCCCAATCAAGTGAGCGCATACGAGCTGCATTCTTTAGTCCTCTCCCGTTGACCAGTGCCACAACAAGTACCACCTCCACTACGACTACCACAGTTACCACACCCACTCTTGAGAGTCCAGTACGCTTGAGGGACAAGCGTTCCATATTCGATATGGATAATGCCAGTTCACAATCCCTGGCCGATCGCTTGCGACTCGAGGCAAATCGTTATGGGTTCGATGAAAAACGTGGTTTTGTCAGTGAGGCCATTAGTTCGCTGCCACCACAAATGTCCCATGAAAATAGCACGGATCGTGATAGTAGTATGTCACCGTTGTTTGGTAATTTGGGCAGTCATACCACCACTGCTGGTAGCGGTTACAGTTACAACAGTCGTCGCAGTTTAGATTC